TTTTTGTCTTTTATTCATTGCTGATTGATATTCTGGTGGAAGAGGAACTAAAGCATCCTATAGAAATAGATTTTATTTCAATGTAATTAGGAAATTTATCTTCTCTTTACTGTTTGTTGATCTTCTAATCGAATTGAACTAATTGAATAGAAATTATCAGATGGAAGAAGTGACCATGGTTGTTCATCAACATAACCAGCTGGATAAGTAATTAATGGTTTATTCCATAAATTAAGTTCTTTAAAAAGATCAACACGTTCCATTTGTTCGATTAATTCAACATGTGAGATATTATGTGGTGCGAAAAGTAAACTAGCACAATTTAATTGTATTAATGGTCGTGTTGGTGTATGAATATAAAATGATGATGAACGGCATTGACTAAAATATTTATTTAATTAGAAAATAAAGCAAAAAAAAAATGAAACTGAATCTGATGAATAATCGATGACAAACAGCAGATATTGATACATTTTCACAATCTGTCACTTTTAATGTTGTTTCAACAGCGTCGAGAACAATTGTTACATAATGACATTTTCGAACTTCAACGCATCTATATCTATATATATATATATATATAGATAGATAGATAGATAGATAGAAATAAAAACTATTAGTGCAATCTTATGATATGAAAACAGAAAACATGATCAAGTGACTGCAGTAAATTTCAGTTTTGTGGGAATGTCTATCACAGTATATGACGAATAAAGCATTGCTAAGGTGTCTATCACAATCAGCGATGAGCGGTATGAATCGATAGCTGTTTTTTCGAAAATTGGCAAATAGTAAGGTCAATGAGCAAGTTAAAAATCTGTTGGCGAAATTCTTGTGGGATTAAAATATGAAATCCAATGGAGTAGCATGTATTGTAAGTGAGGAATATACTAACATATATTTCAGTTGTCAATCGCTACCTATTATTATCCTATACCAATTATGAAAAGCATTAATCGTAATATGTCACAAGGCAAAGGATAGATATCTTAACATTCAGTTGTATTTTACGCCAATTCTGCAGTAGATTTCAGTTTACTGGATATGTGTGTCATCTTCCATCAGAAAGGAGCATTAACACTGAAATGTGGGTTACGGTCTGTGATTGAGCAGAAGGTTTTGCTAAGATTTATCATGATCTTTTGAGGCACATTAGTCATGATTTGTGAGAAGGAAGAGTTAACATTGCTATCCTTATACTTCAACATTTCTAGATCGTGTTCGCAAAACCTTTAGAAAAGATCGTTTTTTTGATGCCATAACGTTAGACCGGTGTGAAATTGCTGTCAGATAAGCGATGACGGATCATCACCGTTCCCTAAAGAAAAAATTCATTTGTTTTTTATTTCAAAAAATAAAATAAAATAAAATAAATATGAAATATTTACCAAAGACTTTCATATGGACCACTATCTTCGTTTTTTATAGACTTTATCACATGCTTGATATGCTATATATTCTATATCTTGTGTGTTTACTCGTTCATTAGCATCTACATAATAAAGATAAGTTGTTTTATTTGATATAGAAGGAATGATTTACCAGAAAGTAAGAGAATTTGTGTTGTTAAATCAGAACATATTTCATGGAATGTTTTTGTTAAACGATCTAAATTACGAATAGATGATTCAATTGAAGATATACTATTTGCATCGAGAATTAATGAACGATTTTTATCATCGTCTTTTAGTACAAGATGATTTATCTGTAAGCAAAAAAAAAAAAAACAATTCATTTTGATAAAAAGAAGAAATGTTGCTAGTATTTTGGGTTTATTACTTTGCCAACTTGAGCTCGCATTTGTTCATTACTTTCAATAAGACGCTTAACAAGAACAGCAAATGGACTTTGATCATTACCAGGCTAAATTATAAAATAGAAATCATCATTGAAATAATTTTTTTTCTTTTGATTTATTTCTAAGCGTGAAATAAGAAAATAAATAATAATATGATTAATATAAATAGTCATCGTATTGTTACTTGTAATAGTTCTGCACTATTAGACACAGTCCGACTCAGGTCGGATCCAGTCGTCGAAAAAATTTTTGATCTTGAGTAGAGCCACAATAAACAAACTGATGTTAAACTTCATATGAAACAGACGAGATTTTATTCCTTTGAATTTTGAGAGAAGTCAGTCAATCGACCCCATCGGGTCCGGGTAGGACTTGATGGGCTCTATCAGTCAGATTTACAAAAAAAGGATGTTGTATCTCTGGAAAAAGTCCGTTCAGTTGACTGAAAATTATCCCAAATCTGGGATCGAATCACAAAAAATTGGCTCATATCGGACATTATTACTTGATTTATCAAATGTGACTATATGCAGTTTTTCCAATATTAAGTACTTCAAGCACAAGCGAAGTATCCGAGGTACTTAGAATTTTGAAAAAACAAAGTACTATGATAGTACTCTGCAAAGTAGAAAAAGCACTTTGCTTACTGATTGCGACATTATTGAAAAACTTTCTTACACGTTTGTTCGCACTACCACGGAAGTATATAGCAGTAGAATGGTAATCAGCAGATAGTCGGTCGCGCAAGTATCAATCTGCCACCGGTATAGTGAACATTATATCAAATGACCTACGGACGGTTTTTGTCAGATTTGAATCATATGAGAGGTTGCTTGTTTTCTTCTTGTTTATAAACTTTGATTCCAAACAAAGTTGCGAAGTACTCTTTTCTTTTATTTTTATCAAATTTATCATTGAAATTTCTCTTTTTTTGTTTTAGAATCAACTTCATGCACGCGGACTTGAAAAATTACATTAAAATGATGAAATGAACATAAAAATTAATGTCTTTTTAATTTATCGATTAAAATGGACATTTCTATCAATTCATTGCATTTGTTTCATTAGAAATGTTGATTTTATTCAATGAATTTGAAATATATAATTTTTTATGTCCGTATCATCATCCGAAATATCATTTTTTTTTTTCGTATTTTTGATATAAAATTGACGAAAGTTATAACATTTTTTAAGTCCTTGAGTGGTCGTGCAATGAATGTACTAACGTGCATGAACAAGAACAATAATAATTCCTTTCTGGTTTTTTTCTTATATACATATGATAGTAAAAATCAATTCCGATGAATATGTGTACATATTTATCATTATCTGTATGTTATTTTTTCACATCAGTGGCGTAGCCAGAAAGGTGGTCATTGGGCAATTGTCTAATAGTTCAAAAGTTATTGACCAATAAATTTTGCGGATAATAGCAATTGCCCAATAAATTGGTAAAAACGTTTTTTTTTTGTTTTTTTTTGCTCTTCACTTTTGATTTTTTGGGATAATGGGTCGGAAAAACTTATGACGTTTTCCGTTTTAATTCTCTTCAGGGAACATAATGTTTGTGATGCTAATAAGTATATAAAAACTATAGCCCAAGTGATTTTGAATTGCCCATTGTTGCCCAATTTGCAAAATAATTTAGCTGGGAAATGGCCCATGGCTCAGAAATTCCTGGCTACGCCACTGTTTTACATTGTTTTTTTTGCACAGGAACATTTTTTTTTCTATAATAAGACGCGAATAGTGATAGGTTTGTCTTTGTTTTTATCGAATTAATTTCAAAAAAAAAAA